AAGCGCATTCTTCTACTTTCTACTCCGGTGTTTTCTGAGCTATCAGAACTCAACTACAGCAGACTGCAGTCTGGGGTAGGCATTAAAAGCAAGTTCACGATAATTTTGAGGTACCCGTTTTTATTCGAAAAGCAGAAGTAAACATTGGTATAACTTCATTGGTAGTGAAGAAAGCGAGAGGACGGAAATAACATGGAAGGGATATTTGGAAGAGATTTCAGTTGTTGCACTTGCGCAAAGAGCTGACTACATCGAGCCAGAACTGTCAAACTGTCTTTCACTGCCGCTATGGGTCATAACAAGTTGTTTGAACCCCTACATGGGTTCCCTTGTGATCATGCAGTCTCTAATGCCGGTGAAACTCGTCCAAGGAGGCCAATCTTTGGGCCTTTGTACCTCCCTAACTAGGCAGTTTTTCGACCTAATAGAGCCGGATATGGTATACGTGGGGGCCTCAAATTCGTCCCAAGGGGGAGATCTCCGAAAACATTTTCATCATGAACTGTGCCCTTAAGTTTACGCCTTGTAGTAATGAACAGTATTCCCTGTACGTAGTGTGCACAAATTTCCGCTTCTTCATCGTTCATCTCATCGGAGGAAAGAATTCAGGTCAGCTTGGTTGCAAGACGGCTGAGTAAAAAAAAAAACAAAAAAATCGGCATAGGATTCGAAGGTTCAGTCACCCTTGAACCAACTTCGATATCATAGTTGAAGATTGCGATCAAAAATATGTTTTTTGTAATATGGCTCACTGAAGTAAGGTAACCTTCGCAAGAAATCTTTCCATAACCAATTTCCAACTGCAATTGGAACTCTCGTAATAATCTAGAACTTATCACTCAGTAGTGAGTTTTTTAAAGTATTTTCAGATTCTGGCGATGTCATGAACAAGTGGTTTAGAGATCGTGGCAAGTTTTGAATATAACTCACATGAACTTTATATTTCTTACGCTTCTTTTCGAATAACTCGACAAATTGTTCTCCATTGCGATCTCCTTTAACACTAACAACGACGACCTGAAAAAAACTATGAAATTAATTGCTGCAGATTGAAGAAAGCAGTTCTGACTTTTAGTCAGAGCTCAATTAATGCTGGCGTACGTCTTCTTCGCTTAAAGGCACAGTTCACGATAATTTCGGATAATCCAGATTATGACGAAAAATGGAAGATAAGGTGGGGAATAGTGCGATGAAAGCGAAGAAACTGCGTGAATCGGTGTTTCCAAAGTGGGAAGGGACTCGAAAAATCGTTGAAAAAGTGGCTGGACGAGAGTGAGACCAGAAAAATGAAGAAGAATGGGGCGTTTGGACGAGCTATACAATGAGTGTCAGTGGGTACGTGTGGGTCCTGGGGTGAATAACTGACTACGGTAGGTAAAATTCATTTACTCCTAAGCAAGTTGAACAAAAAATCAAAAAATCTAGTTACACCAAAAATAGCTCACCTTTTTCAGCCTCTCGGGGTAGGAAATTAAAAAAAGGGATCGCGACAGCAAAAAGAAAAATAGTGAAAAAAGAATGGGAGAAAAACATCGCCTCATCGCTCGGCGATCAGCTGATCGTGTTTGGGTCCTAGAACGAATATTAGCAATCTGTGTTGCTCACACACGTCTGACATGACATCGATCGAGAGGCGGGAAAGTTACTCAAGCAAGCAACAGGGCTTCCATGTGCCCTGGTCGTCGAGATTTTGGGAGCGAGAGGGTCCCTTCTTCAACCCACGGAGATCACTGAGTGTTCTTTAGAGAAGAACTTAACCATTTTTATCGTGAATCGTGCCTTTAAAAAAGGTTATCTGAAGCCAGTTAGTTCCAGCTCCGCAGTTTCCGCTGGACTTGTATGTTTCGGAATAAAAAACTGTAGTAAATTCGGTATACTTATACCTGCCGATAGTCAAGCCTTTGAAGTAGATTGAGAAACACATAAGACTCGTCAGCATACGCTGGTGATGGTCGAACAAAAGTGGGATAGATTTTCTGAAAATTTATTAGTTGTGCATATGTGTTTGTTGGAATTCTGACATTTCTCCCACCTTTTTGCTGAATTCTGCTTCTCTGACCATAACTCCGATAGTAGGAATACTGTAAAACCCGAGAGCATAGGCTGTAGATGACACCCGAGAGAGGTACTCCGGTTGAGTTTCTCGATGTAACAATGGAGCATAGATAACGACAGCTATAGTACGATTCATCACCCGTTCACAAACAATCTCTTCTGTCAGTTGTAATCGGTTTGCACTTCTGAAGACATCTTCCTATAGGAACGCTTCCATGTTTGCAAGTGCCCCTTGAAAATGTACTTACGGCTTGTCCCTTAGAATCCCTCCATTGATATACTCTGCAACAACCGTGTAATTCGCCAAATGTGTGGTTTCGCTCTCGAAAATTTCCAGGTACGCCGTCTGAAAAGTTTACCTGTCTTGAGATTGTCACAACATGTGTTTAAGTTTATGCGTCTGCTACCATTTTCGATATTACCATAGGAGCAGGAAAATCATTTAAAGGCACAGCTCACGATAATTCAATGGGCGGGAACGTCAATAGCTTCCCCACCTCTCGATCAATGTTACGTCAGACGGTCAGACGAGTGTCGCGACAATACAGATTGCAATTACTCGTTCTAGGACCCACACACAGTCAGCTGATCGCCGAGTGATGTTTTTTTCCCATTCTTTTTTCCTCTGTTATTCTTTTCGCTGCCGCGATCCCTTATTTAATTTCCTGCTCCTAGAGGCTAAAAAAGGTGAGCTACTTCTGCTGTTACTAAGGTTTTTTCGTTTACTTATGCTCATAAGTGAATGAATTTTTGCTCACCATAGTCTGTTTTCGTACCAGGACCCACCCGTACGCAGTGAAACACATTGTATAGCTCGTCCGAACCCCACCTCCCTCTCTTCTTTATTTTTCTGGCCTCATTCTCGTCCAG